AAAGGGGGCAGACGAGCAGCCAGCACGAAATCCCTGATCACTTGCGTCTTCGCTTCATCGACTAGAACATCCACAATCTGGCCCTCCGGTAGTGGAACACGGGAGACTAGATCAGTCCGCTTGCCAAGGCTGCAGATGCTCTCCAACAGCAACATAACATCTTTGACCATGTACGGAGACAGGGTTTTGCTTCGAAAGCCTGCCACTTTCCAAGAATCGACCAGCCAGGTCAGGACCTTTTCTTCAAGCTGCATTCGGTAGAGATGCATATCTTGGCTCGCCACTCTCAGGCAACATGCAAGAAAGGTGCAGACGGAATCGAAAGGGTATGGAGGCCCTTGAACGTCGAGGTCTTTCGCCAAGCTTTCGATCTCCGATAGGACTTTGTTGGAAGGTAATGCGATGTTGGCATAGTCGTCCTTCCGAGCGTGCGTGTGAGCGAGGAGGATGTAAGCAGTGTGACAGGCGGCTCTTGAGACTACGGGAACATTCGTGCGACGAATAGCAGTGGCCCAAATGGTTTCCCATAGGACGGTATCCTGTTTTCGTGAGGTCGGAGGATGGGTAGAATTGCCCATCGCATGAAGGGGAGAAGCAACGGAAAACGCTATCGCGCCAAAACACAGGAACACCCAGGATTGCACAATCCCGTCGTCCAATGAAACAAGCTCGATGAGATCTTGAATGATACCCTGCTGAAGCTTTCCGTGAAGTATGTGCCAGTGCCGATCGATGAGGAACATGAGGATTTGCAGATGGTAAACTTGAGCATTAGACGCGCTTTGTTTGATCGACTTCCGAAGAGCCTCGATAGGGTTAATAGGATTCTCCAGGGAAAAGCGTTTTCGCTTCCCTTCCCCAGAAGTGGGTCCGGGTGTCGGAGGAACGTGGATTGACTCCGATAATTGGAAGAGCTGCGCGAAAATGAGAGTCAAGTCTGAGTATACAATTTCATTGCAACACACCTTGGCGATGCAATCCGCCTGAAGCTCGTGAATAGCCCATGCTAAGCCTTGATTGCTATCAAAGTTCCACCCGTATCGGAATGTACTGGCGATGAAAGCAGAGACTTCAGGTCGATCACCTCGATTGTCCGTAATCTCGAGCCTCAGGCATTCGAGAGACAGCCCTTCTATCCCTGATCTACTCTCAGTTTCTTTCCTAAGTGTTTTATGAAGAGTGCGAAGACCATGCACGCAGTCAAATGATGTCGCGGGTTTGGTACGTGGTCCATGATCTGATACGACGAAGGGAAACAGAATGCGCAGAACGGAGACCAAGCCCTCCTTGATTCTCTTGTTTTTCGTTCCCCACAAGCCAATGAGGCCGCCCCATGCTTTACGCGCAAATGTCGAGACCGCGGCTATCCTATTCAAGGACAGATGGGAAAGAGTGGATGATAATGCGACAACGTAGTCGTACACGAGCGACGCATCGGCAGTGTAGAGGTCGAGGAATCGTTGTAGACGAACCAGAATCGATGAGGCAAGGTGAGGATACTCTTGGGACAAGATGGGTGACGAGGGAGATCGAAGGAGTGTCGAGAGGAGAGACATAAATTCCACTTGTTCAAGTGAGACGGAGACTAGCCGAGTCGGCCTGGTAGTCGGCCTGGCTTTCCGCTCAATCTGGGGTGAGGGCTTGATGGGGGACGCGTCGGGACTGTGGGAGTTGGACCGGGGGCGCTTCCGAGATGTCGAAGGGAGTGCATCGTCCTCGGAATCATCCTCATCGAAGAGGTCTGAATCATCGGCCTCTTGTTCAGGGCTGGGGGACGTGGTGTCGTCGCTGAAGGTAGACTTGATCGGGTCCTCCAGGAGGATGTTGAAGCCCATCTCCACTATCCTGACCCAAGTATCGTCCTCCATGTGCTCCATGTGCGGTGTATAGCTCACAAGACATCGGAGAGCCTTGATGTATTGTAGCGCGACAGGCGCGACCAGTTCGCCTCGGTGAACCATGGTTTGCAGGAGGTGCTCGAAAATGGGCTTCGTGACGCGTCTGTTCATGAAACGCACTGTCCGTTCCGTTAACCAGCGCACAGTGCTCGCGGCCTCTTCCAGCCGTTTACTGGCGGTGGCACTAGAGCCGCTCGATTTACTGGTTTCCTTCTTCGTGACCGCCAGCTTCTCTGTGAGCACAGTCTCAAATAGCGCCTGAAATACAGAAACCCATGCTCGAGGATCGGTGCTGAAGTTGTTGACGAAATTGGGTCTCTCAAAGACGGCTCGGAACGAGGCAAGTGCTTTCTGCCGGTCAATGATCTTCGTGCTCTTGAGGCCGTTGAGCACATCCTTAAGGTTCACCTGTGAGCCGCTCCTTGACATCCTGGCAAGCCTTAAACTGGGACGATCGATGACAGAGGAAGGAGAGCAGCAAATACCTGGAAATCACTATCCAGTTGTCGGATATGGTTAATAAGAAAAAGGGCGAGAGATGAAGCCTAATTCAGTATAAGGGTTCGCTAGCATGAGTGCAGTGCTGCCCCTAGGCGCCTATCATTGTTATTATAATAACATTGTTAATGAACGCGACAAGCACCGTGTGGCACGTGATGGCATTCGATTTGTCGTTATTTGGCCCCTCGGGGTCTCATAAGTATAAAAAGCTGCAAATTTTCGGACGCCTCTCCCGTTTGTACTAACCTCGTCTTTCTTCCCAATCCAACGCGCTTATTCCTTTCCGTGTGATTTCAGAATTCTTATACTCTACTCGTCTTTCTGGCCACTTTCTGCCCGAGCAGTACGACATGCTTCCATGCTGCAATCGGTTCTGGTGATGCGCCAATAACCACGTACTCTTGCTGTCTAATCAACAGCTGGATGGGCAGCCTTGAGAACGCGACCTTCTGTTCAAGTGGAGCAGTTGCGGGTTTATGATTGTCCTATATCTCTTCAATATATATTGCACATCTTACGTATCGTCTGGTACCTTGTTATGAATACATGCATTTTTTCAACTTTTAATCAGCTAGACAAGTTAGTTGATACATGATTCGAGAGTCAATGCAACGCGTATCGATTGTCCGAGAGGGGCGCGGGGCACCGAGATCATCCATGTGGCAGAACCGTCTATAGCTTCATTATTCAATCAAGGAGGTGTAGATACAGGAGCTTGAATGTAATAAGTAGGAAGAAGAATATATCGAATCAGAGCTTGACGCCCTCCCCGGCCGCCTTCGGCGGGTTCTTCTTCAGGACCTGGGCGATGACCCCGGCCAACGGTGAAGGCTCTCCCTCCAAGGCAATATTCAAGAACCAAGGCTTGCTCATATAATTCCGGATGCTATCGAACAATGAGCAATCAATTCTTTCGGAAAGAGAGATCAACTCACCCATCAGCGAGCAGGACAACGACATTCTTTCCTTCTGTCTCAGCAACTGCTCGTCCGGCGTCGCTGCGGAGCCATTGGAGAGCGCCCGCCAAAGCGCTTCCACTGCTACCACCGACAAGAAGGCCCTCCTCCCGCATAATCACTCGGACGGCGGCAAAAGCATCGTCGTCGCTCGTCTTCACCCAGGAGCTGACATCGGCGATATCGCGAGAAAGCACGTCAGGGATGAAGTCGTAGCCAATGCCCTCGACGATATACTGCGAGCCCTCTGGAGCCTTGTTCAGCTCATCAGGGAAGGCAAGAATGCTGCCGATCTGCAATTACAATGTCAAAATGTGAATCAAAAAAGGGCAAGATGGGACTCACGGGATCAACGCCGACAACGATACAGTCCTTGTTGTGGGCTTTCTTGATAGCCCTTGATAAACCAGTAACGGTTCCTCCGGTGCCAGCACCAGCGATCAAAACATCGACCTTGCCGGAGGAAGGATGTGCAGACGTTGAGGGCGTTGAAACCACAGCTTCAATGATCTCGGGACCGGTCGTGTACTCGTGCGCGAGGGGGTTGTTAACCTGGGAGAGGGTGATCAGTTTCATTCCTCTCTCCTTGAACTGGGAAAAAGCACGCACGTTTCGGTACTGGTCAAGGATGATACCGTAGGGAATTTCACGTTGAAGTTTCTGGGCAATGCCTGTGATCGTTAAGGAATTCAGCCACGAGACTTCCAGAGCGTGGAGTTTGGATTCTACCTATATGGCTCTCGGGCGAGTCCCAGGCGGCTGCAGTAGGTGTCCGTACAACCTCTGCGCCGAGGGCACGGAGTGCTGCTTCCTTTTCCTGTGGAAGGAGTAAGAAAAAAGGGGGGCATAGCGGGAAACGCGACAACGTACCAACGACATCTTGTCAGGGAGAGTTATAATGACGGCATAACCCTTAGCTAATGTATTCAGTACGAGTTCTACCAGCATTTTGTTGGTCAACTTACTTTGATAGCGCAAGCCATTGCGAGTCCGATGCCAGTGTTACCGGAGGTGGGTTCAATGACGACGCTCTTCCCAGGGATCAGTTTCCCCTCTTTTTCAGCCGCCTCAACCATCGCCTTCGCAATCCGGTCCTTGACAGAGCCACCAGCAGAAAAGTATTCAACCTTCCCAACTACCAGGATGAAGAAAAAAATTGAGATCAGCTGAAAAACTTGTAGAAGCTCTGTACTCACGCAAGTTGCATTTGAGGTTATTCTGCTTCGCCACCTTATCCAGCCGAATAAGAGGGGTATGGCCTACTGCACCGAGGGCGTTGTCGAGGATCTGAGGCATTTCGAAGGAGATGAACGAAGCAGGAAGATGAGAAAGATGAGATTGGAATCAGGATTGCGTTTTATGTCTAACCTTTTTGCACCATAGCTCGGAGAAGGCCGACGGACGGATCCTCAGCCAATGCCAAGGTCCATGTGGGTGGACCGGGAAAAAACGTAGGTCGAGTACCACTCAGCCGAAGTCGGGATTTCTTCGACGCGACGACATACGCGACTACATCTACGCAGTACATGACTTCATATATGAACAACTTGAACTTCGCAGTTAATCCAGATCGAAGCCCACTGACATCTCCGCGATCCGACCTGTCTTTTGAACCTATGATTGCACTTTTGGCCGAGAATGTATGGTCCTTGTCGATTAGTGGTTAAATCATCTCGTTGTGGTACAGCAGCTCCGAGAAGCCGCAGGCTCGAATCCTGCCAGGGACAGTCTTTTTGCAAGTTAAACGGGTGCCACATAGCATGCAGGTGAGCTGGGTTGTGTGGGTGGGTCTCTCATTACGACGAGTATGAAGTAAATACATTTCAAGGAGGCGACCATTTGGACTGACAGTACGACTTATCTGCCAAATCCGCCGCTGGGTACAGAACGAAGCAACAGGTTTCTGCATGGTAAGTAGGTGGGAACACGCGTAACATAACCATGTACATTGAATAATTGCGCTTAGCGCCTTCAGTGCTTTAGCATATCGGTATACAGTGGCCAAGGCCTCCCCATCCATGACATCAGCTCGGTGTGATCCTTGAACGCGTCGTTCGTGTTCGGATGGACGAGCACCCTATAAAACAAGTTGATTGACACAACGCATCAGTACATAGTACCATGGGCCACGCGTAGAGGAATAAAAAATATATTATTAAACAAGACACGCGGAAATCATGTCGAGGACAGAATGAACGGATAAAGTCAAAACAAGAAGAAAGAAGAAAGATTCGGCGCCACATGAGGATATGGTGAGATTGTGAGCGGAAAGGCACACCGGAGTTGCAAGCTGGGGAAGCCTTCACCGCGCATCATTTAAATCAAGACGGTACGAGCACAGGATGAGCACAGGCCCCAAAAACGATCCAACAGATCAAGGAAAGATGCAAGCGAAACCATAGAACAAAAATCAAGTTCAAGTCACGTACGAGCAAGGACCGCGATGGACTGTGAGCCACGAAAAGAAGGCACCAGTCTGATGCGGTGTGAACGTATTCACTTCAAACATTGCCGTCGGGTGGGGACCTGTAGAAATAGGAAGGAAGCGCATCAGCGCGCCAAAGTATTCCAGTAGTGGGTTTCGAGCGCCTCGGTTAAATGATCACTCCAGATCGAAAACAATAAATAACCGTTCTGAAGCCGAGGGGAACATGTAGAGCAGAAGATGACTTACCGACGGGTCTTTCCCAGAACCTATATATCCGCAGCTGTGGAATGCGTGAGGTTAGCGACGCGTCGATGAGCGCAATTTGAACGCGAAGTCTCACCTCAGGAAACTCCCTCCGTATCCTCTCATGCAGTGCGCGCGCAAAGGTGAGCTCGCTCTCGATCGTGGGGATATAGTAGACTGCACATAGGGGCCACGGGTCAGTATATACTGGGCGTCATTGCGGCCAAATTCAAAAAACAATCCCTGCAATATTATTGATCGGGCCGTCGACGGACTTGTGATGATATCCGATCTCAAGAAGATTGAGGGGGACATGGTTCTTACCGTGAAAATCAAATCCGTTATTCGACGAGTCAATGGGTTCAGGGAATTCATGATAAGCAGAAGACTTGGCGTCATTTGGGGGCCCGTTGTAAAGGGATTTACCGTCGGGGTTGATTGTGGTTGGCAGCGGCGGGGCGTTTTCATAGCCTTCGAGGGGAGATTTGTAGGTGGTCATCGTGGGGATGAGTAACGGTGAGTGGTGAGTTTCTGCCTTGGATTATGGAGGGCTTGGTAAGAATTGATAAGGTTGATAATGATTACTGATGACAAATGTGAAAAGGGGTTTTCATGTTTGAACAGCAACTTCAGTTTTTCAAAGGTAGTATTTCAAATACAAATCATCGGCCAATTTAGTGTTTTATGGCGATGGCGGCCCAGCGAAGAGTCCCCGACGCGTCTGACGCGTGGAATCTACTATTGATGGTAAGGAGGATGTGCTAGGATTTTCGGAAAAGACATATGGTTGACATTGTACAATGATTCACTCCATCATGGCATTTTGTTGGTACACACCTGATGATTTCGCTCGCATGATATCGCTGTCGTTGATGCAAGACGCAAGAAATGGGACTTGGAGAGTGATTTGATGGGGGTTCGACCGTCCAAGTTGAGGAGCGCAATTGCAGAGGCCTGAGCGGCGAGCGTGGACGATCTGGAGGCACGAAAAAACTCGAAGGGTCCTTGAGGACAGCTCGAAAATTTGTCGAGGATGGTACCTGAGAAGGGGTGGCCTCGGAGGAGCATGCCTCCGGAGGCGCAATTTGCCGGACATAATGGATCACAACAGGCAGGGCGTCCCAGCGTGGAAGAATTCGAAGGAGAAGGGCAGTGCAGACCAGATGATACGACAGATTGCCCTATGGATGATGGAAGTAGTGCTTCTGATCTGCGGTCGAGCATTGCAAGAAGGAGCCCTGGGAGGATGGCATTATTCGCGCGACGCGGGACCGGAGACGACGGTGAGGAGCGTAGCGCACAGCAGGGATATTTTTATGGCACGGAGGGACGGGGGACATGCAATGAAGTGTAAATTTAAGCTATGCCAGATCAGAACAATGTGAATTCGATTTATTCCATTGGGCATCAAAGATGCATACGAAGCCTTGGAAAAACTCGTCCTCACCGTCTTCCTGATATTCCTCCCTTTCCCCCCTTTTTTCCCTTTGAATCCATAGTCCTCTGCAGGCGTTCGCAGACTTTGCTGTCTATGCGCCCAGGATCCAGTCACAGTTGGATATCGAGAAACCATCGAGACTCGCCAACGCCGTCCGATCATTCCAATAAGTCTCATCATCAACCTCTCACCCCCACGTACACGGCGCCCCGACTCGCCCCTCTCCCCCCTGGCTCCTCTCCGGCCCCCAAGTCGGGCTTCAAGAGCTTTCAGTCCGTTTTTCGCAAGCCGACTCGGGCCCCGTCTGTCCACTCGGCGTCTACAACAAACTCCTCCATTGAAAACCCCTCTTCCCACCCTTACTCCGCGATGCACATAGCTCCTCTGCCCGTCGTCTCTGCCCGCGACACCGTTGAGGACGAGGCAGAGTGTCCTGTCTGTCTAGAGCCCCTCAGCTTCAGCTTCCGTCTCCCTGGTGAGAAGCCGCACATTGTGCCCGAATGCGGTCACGCCCTTCATGAGGTGTGCAAATTAACTTTTATCTCCAACGTTAAACGCTGAATATCGTTTCTAGGCGTGCTTCACTGCGGTCTACGGCCCACCACCAAACCAGAACCGCTCAAATGCCCCTCGCAAGTCCAATCTCGGAGTTTGCGGTGTCTGTCGACGACCCATGAAAGTGGGCGATGGCGATGGGGGAAAGTCCAACAGTACGTTGCATTCAGTGCTTGTCTTCTATACACTCTCACTCGTATAATCACCGCTCAGAACTCGCCGCGCTTACGGGTATGGGCGACAGCAAAGCTGCTCCGTTATATCCAGGACGCGATACACCCACCAACCGACGTGCCCCAGCGGCGCCGTTCAACCCAAATGACGACGATCCTATCGAGACCTCTGGCTCCGTCAGATCTGGAGCTAACGGAGAGCACTCCCAGTACATCGTGGCGCCGTCGATCCAAGTCCGGCCTGAGTTCTCTTCCCTGACGCGGACAAACGACCTGAACCAGCCCTTGACGTGCATAGTTATCATTGAATTGCCCGGAAAGCGCGTCGCTGGTAATGTCCCAGGTCCCGTCATGCCCGACAACTACGCGCGCAGCAGCCATTCCCGACAAGAACCCACTTCTGGTCACTCCAGTCCGCATCCAGATCACCCATCGCAATCACGGCAGCGTCAGCAACAACATAGCCATTATGCTGAAAGCGAGCAATCGCCGCGCCCATTTCAAAACAATGCATTGACACCCACACTTGACCAATACCCTGCGTCTTCCAATGGACACGACTCGTATATCCCCAATACCCTCATTCATAATGAGGAAGATTCCCCATTCAATGCAATCACCGAGGATCTTAGGAACCGCATTATCGACTGGAAAGGCCACCCACTTTCGGACCTGGGACCACTTCAGATGTATGATCTGCTCTCGGTCCGACGCGACGCGGCCATCCGTGAATTCTACGTCTATCTCTTCAAGGAGGCCATCATCTGCGTCGTCGAAGAAAAGAAGCGAGGACTGGGCCGACTACTCTCGAATGCATCAGGTTTCACAGATCCAGGGTCCACGATGTCGAGCTCGAGTCAGTCCAAGGGCGTCCTGCGTCTGAAGGGGCGGATATACGTCCGTCATATCAAGTATGTCACTGCGACCTCCGCCGCCGGCGAGATGAGCCTCACAATCGACATGGAAGACGAGCTTGCGTCCTTCATTCTCATCTTCAAGGACCGCTCTTCGCTCGAATCCTGGAAAAACAACATCCAAACGCTCGTCAACATGTTCCAGGCACAGAACGGCATCCCTCAGGCCCCACCGCCAGACCCACGCATGCCCAACATGGAAGAATTCGGCGGGAGCCAGAAGGCGATGCGCATGCTGAGTGGCAGCACCCAGACCACGGCCAGTACGGTAGACAGCCTACTGAACGGCTCATCCCGCTCTACGCTCTCCTCTTCTACATCACATGGCTCAATGCCTCCACGGCATCAGATGCACTCCAACAAACTCACGACACTCGGCGAAGACGATGAACTGAGCAACTACGACTCGCCGACGTCCCTGGTGACGCCGTACACATCTTCGGGACCTTCAAACTCATTGACACCCCTCCCCCACCCTCCGCTCGATCTTATTCTTGTCATATCAATGCCTCCACCCACTGCTGTTCCTAGCACGGCACAGTTGAAGGTCCGCGTTATTCGCGCCACACTCGACTTCGTCCTCGCATCCCTGTCCAAAAAGGATCGGTTGAGTTTGGTTACGTTTGAGGTTGGCCCGTCGGGCAGAGTCAGAAAGACGCCGTTTTTGAACCCGGGGAAGACACAAAGCCGAGCAAGGCTAGAGAAGTTCATCGATGAGCTCGGAGTGCGGATGGAGGAGCACATGGACGAGTTCCTTGTGAAAGGATCGAAGGATGAAAAGACGGATGTCGTCACTGCCGTGAATCATGGTACGTCCATTTTCTCTGTGATGCCAATATGCTTCTGACGTCTCCCCAGGCCTCGATGTTGTCCTGCAACGGAAAGCGCGTAACCCAACATCTGGTATGATCTTGGTTAGCGATGCCGCTGATAGCACGCGGCGTGCCCAAATGGATCTTGTCCTCGCCCGCGCGGA